ATTAAAAATCACGTTAGGACGTCACAACAACTTTAGCATATCTACTTCGATTTTCAAGTAAAAAAAAGTCATGATTAAATAGTTAAGTTTTAATCAAGTTTTTTTAATTAGTTTTGCAAAAACAGTATAATAGCATTTGGTTGAAAGACGTCGTTAAAAAAAAAGTTATAAGTAATAGTTTTAAATAGTTTAGAACTTATAAAAAAGTCTTACAGGGCTCGTATTAAGCGTATCGCGATCGCGATTGCTACACTCACTTTTGTGATTAGTTTTTTCTTAAAAAAAATCTTTTCGTGACTCGTTTTTTTTTTGGTTGATTAATTACTTTTTTTCTAGCTTAGCATTTTTTTTAGCAATTCTTAAAAGTAATCTTTTTATCATAAAGAACGTCACGCAGAATTTATTATTCTGAATAGATAGATGTATAGATGATTTGCACTTTCGCGCGGAGATTTTCTTTTAACGTAAAACATTTTTGAATTTAAGTTACTTTAAATCTCTGCGTGGAAAATTTTTACAGCAAAAAGTTGAAAAGTTGGTTTTTATCTTTGTTTATCAAAACTTCATGTTTAAAATAAGGCTTAAAAACGTTAGAGCAAAACAATTACTGACTTTTATTTGCATTTTTATACTGTTTGAAAAAAAAAACTAATAAAAAAGAAATAATATATAGTTATTTATTAATATATTATTAGTTAATTCTTTTTTATTAGTTTTTTTTAAACAGTATAAAAATGCTAATAAAAACCAGCAATTTTTTTACTTAAACGTTTTTAAGCCTTATTTTAAACATAAAGTATAATTCGATTTATTAAACCAAATTTTTTTGTTTTATCTTTTATTGGAAAACTTGAAATAGAAAAATTAAATAAAAACATCAACTATTTAAATGAAAAACTTAATTATATTTAAACTTTTATTAGTCCTTTATTAAAGAAACAATAAATTATAAAAAACGTGATATCTAATTTTTTATTAAGTTTTTGACAATGTTTTTTGATTTATTGACAATATTTTTTCCCCCCATTACGGCACATCGGCGCGAACTATAAGAAAGAAAGGGGGGGGGGGGGAGAGAGCAAAAAAAAAAAAATTTTTCGCGATTAGATTTTTTTTGCGTTAATTCGAGCCCTGTCTTAGTTTAATTTCTAATAAAAGGTCTTTTCAACCTTATCAATTTGAACCAAAAAAATATAGCAATTTAACATAAATGTTAATTTAACTAAAACATTTTACAATCATTATTTTTTTTATCAAGCAAAAATGAGAGTAACCGTCACTTTTGAAACCATAAAAATTACTGATATAAATTTATTTTTTTACTAAGGAAATATTTTGAATAAACTTTCATATATCTAAGTCAATATTCATTTGTTTTTAATTGACTAAAAAGAGTTTAAAATTTGACTTCTATTCATTTTTAGCCGTGGAATTGCCCTTATAACACAAATATATAAATTAATATTATAAAAAAAAATTTAATATACAAATATATTTTCACAAAATGCTACAAAACTTATTCATGTAAGTAATTATGTGTTAGTTGAAAAAAAACGACTTTACTTTTAAATTTAATTACCAACTAATAAGTTTGCAATAATGAAATTTTGTCTACTTTGTTTAATTTGACGTACTAACGTTAGTTTTTTGAGGCAGTAGAGTCAATAAATAGAGTCTTTGGACAAGGCGCATTTTTTTTTAATCGAAGAAAAGTTTTTTTGAAAATTAAATTTGTTAGTGTTCATTATTACGTTTTAAAAAAAATAATATACATAAAACATTTTTTTTTTAATGCTCTTTCATATGAGATTATATCTTTATAGCACTTAGGGATCCCTTTAAGAAAAAATCAATAATTAAAATTTAATCATAACATAACAATTTTATTGTATTTAAATTGTTAAAACATCAAAACAGCTGTGGTCAAATTTTAAAGAAAAAAATTATAAACGTGGTAAGTTATAGCGTGCGATCGCAAGCCATTCTTGTCCAAGCCCATATATATACATATATATATATATATATATATATATATATATATATATATATATATATATATATATATATATATATATATATATATATATATATATATATATATATATATATATATATATATATATATATAAACATTATCAGTCGGCAATAGCCACCCATAATAAGTTTTGCTCACAAGAAATAAAGTGGGAGGATGTTAAAACAATTAAAGTGGAAACAAAAAAGTTTGATCGAAAAGTGCGCAAAGCTCTTGAAATACAGAGGTATCAATGTTCTCCTTTAAATGGTGGCATAAATCTAGATAACGGGCAATTTGTTAAAACTAAATTTTGGGCTCCGTTTTTTACATTTTTACGTAAGCAAGAAAGAAGTCATTTAATTGCTGACGTCACTTAATTTTAAACTGTTTTTAACGTTAAAAAATTTTGTATTAATTTTTACGAGCTGATGATGCTGGTAACCATAATCCAGCGAAAATTTCTAATAATAAATTATCATTTGTATTAAGAGAATTCGTATTATTTAATGTTTTCTTAATATATATATATATATATATATATATATATATATATATATATATATATATATATATTATATATATATATATTTATATATATATATTTATATATATATATATATATATATATAAATTATAGGTGATTTTATCTAAAAATATTAGTTTATTTGACTTTTGGTTGAAGAAAGGAACTTAATTAATTAGATGAAAGTATATATTTATTTGTAAGTAAAAGTTTTTTATAGGACTGAGTGTGTGTGTGTGTGTGTGTGTGTGTGTGTGTGTGTGTGTGTGTGTGTGTGTGTGTGTGTGTGTGTGTGTATAAGTATATTCTTTTGTTAAATTAGATACACACTGATGATGTCATACTGAAATAAATAGCTGTGGGGGTTGCAGTACATATATTGACTGGCTAAATAGGTTGATCATGCGAGAAGCGCCCCTTCATTAAATAAGAGTTTGAGTTAGGCAGTAAGTGACCACGGCCCTGGCTAAAAATTGGACTTTATAAAATTGGACAAATCAAGTCCAGGCAAAATTATAAGGCTCATCAAGGATTGATAGCTGGGGCTAAGAGAAAAGTTTTCAATACATTATATATTGTAAATTTATTTTTATATATTTATATATTTTTACTATTTATTAAATACTGGCATATAGTATGGAGATAAATATAGATATATTTTTTATTTATATGGAAGCATACAATATCCTTAAATGTTTTTAGAAATAAATATTTTTTAAAGATAGTTTAACTATGAAAATATGATTTGATACAAATAGTTAATCCTACTGTACTTTTAACCATAATTTGATCTAATTGATTGTACTTTTATTAGAAATGGCCAATGCATTGTTATATTTCAATCAAGGCAACTGGTTTCCTAGATTAAAGTTACTTTGATTCTTTAATCCAGGGCTGTGGAGTCGTAGTTGCGGAGTTGCAACATTTTTAGCGGAGTCGGAGTCGCTAAACAAAATTTTGACTCCGATAGTAAAACTTCTCGGTATTGTTCGTGCATGTACAAAACATGCAATTAACCTTATGTTCATACTAAACCTCAAAGATTTATTTTTATCTTATTGCGTAATATTTTTTAAGGAATTTAAAGAATCTTTCAAAAATTTTGCGTCAGAGTCAGAGTCGTTACTTTTTTTTTTATGACTCCACAGTGCTTCATTTTTATGTGTAAATCTATCCTACTAATACGCACTAACATAAAACGAATAAAACAGCAAAAAGAAAACCAACTCTTGCTATTTTCACAATCATTTTTACCATTATCAGAGTACTTTACAACTTTTTTTCCCATAATGATGTTTTAGAAAATAAACATGTTAGCTAATATTTTAAACAGCAAAGCTATAAAAAAAATTTATTTTGCATGGTGTTTTCTTAGCAAAAAGGAAAATATGCTTAGTGGTGCTTTTTTATTTTTCGTAACTGTATAGGTAACATTTATAAAATGTTAACTATATAATAATAAAAATATATAGGTTCAACATTAGTTACTCAAACGCTGACTTCAAAACTCAAAGACTGGTCTCAAAATTCAAATACTAACCTTAAACTCTAACACTAACCCTGAAGTTAAACAATGACCTCAAAACTCAAACACTGATCTCAAAACATTGCTCTAATGGTACTCAATTACACTACCTGCAACGAATAGCTCTCTCGCAATTTTTGTAATTTTCATTTTCATTATCATTTCACTTATTACCTATAATATATTTTGATTTCATCATCTCATATTTTTATTATCTATAACATTTTAATTTCATTATCTTATATTTTTATTTTTATTACCTATATTATATTTTCCTTGTTTAAATCTTGGTTGCCTGTAATATTTTAATTTAATTTTATCATTGCAAAGAGGAAAATAACTTTTAATTGATTTTTGTTGATTTTACTGTCGTTTTTAAAAAAAGCTGATTAAAACAGGGCAGCCACCTCTATTACGTCAGCCCACAAATTCTTGATTGGGTTAAGATCTGACAACTGTGCTATAACTATTATTTTATTGAATATTTTGATCATTTTTAACTATTATTTTTTTCATTTATTTTACATTTTGTGTTGCATTTATTCAATAAACAGTTTACAATGCAAAATTTTAGTTAATTTTTCTGACTGGCCTTAATTTTTTGGCCAATACTATATATGTATATAAGGGTAGTTCTAAAAACAACATTTTTGAAAAATATACCCCCATAATTTGTATAATAAAATAACACTGGATTTAAAAAAATATTTGAATAAAAAACATTTTTTGAGGTCGCTCAAGACCCAAGACCCTTAAACATTAGAAAATTCCCTAATTATAATAATTTTCATTATATAATTAAATTTTATAACAGCTTGAAAATGAGAATTTTAAAAATCTCAAAGAATAAACAAAAAAAAAATAATAATAATAATAACTACTATTTAGTGACATAATTTTTTGTTAATTGATTACTAACTGTATTTTTTTTGCAGGTATGTTTGGATCAGGCGTTGTATCTTATTTTATATTGATGCGTTGGTTACTTATGTTAAATGTTTTGGTTTGCATCATTCTCCTTTCGTTCTTGTTTGTTCCTCAAATTATTTTTTTGCAAAGCTCAAAAAGTCAAAGAACTAGTTTTACCGGAATGGAGCTTTTAACTGGCGACGTAAGTTGGAGTGTATAAGAAAATTGTAGTTTACATATACATAGACTACAAAAGTAAATTTATTATATACATTTATAATATCTGTCTAATGTCAATGTCATGTGTCTGTCTTGTTTTATGTTAATGCTATCTTCATGGAAAAAACAAATTGTTACAAAGCTGTTATTTTAAAATTTATAAGGTAGAATGAAGAATATAATTTTTTCAAAAACATCAATTTGTTAAAGAATAATCTAATGTGTATATGTAAACATTTTCTTTTCTCTTATGTATCACCTCTCTATAAGCAGTTTGAGATTTTTCTCCTCTTATATATTATTCTTCTAAAAACAAGATTCTTTTTGAAAAAATGACTATGTACTGAAAGCATGTTGAAAAAAAGAAATTAAAAAAAGTTTAAAAAACATGAGAAAAAATCTCTATATGTAAATTAAGGCATATTTTTTTTACAAAAAACAAACAATTTATGATTACTTCTAGTGACTTCAATTTTCACTAATCCATTTATACTTCAGTAATTCACTTATATTTCAGTACTACACTTATACTTTAGTACTTTACTTATACTTCAGTACTTCACTTATATTTCAGTACTTCATAATTTTTTGTTATTATTGATATAATAATAGCATGATCATGTTGTTTTTTATGTACATATTTATTGATCATCCTATTTTTGTTCTATTATTTACCATTAGTATTTTTATTTTATTGTTCCGATATTTAAAAAATAACCTTAACTTAATTTATTATTTTACATATAAAATACATTTTTAGATTCAAGTAAAAATTTGAAATATTCAATTACTTTTAATTTTATATTGTATTTTTAATTTTTTATTTTAGGGGTGGTTTGCACAATCAGAACTGTTTTATGGTACCTATACAAATCAAACCATTAAAAATGGCTATGAAATGCAACATGCATATTTACTTGCTGGTGGAGGATACATTTTTATTGTTATTTTTATTATGGCAGTTAGGTTAGAGTTAAAAAGTTTGCATTAAAATCATTAATACAAATAAATAAAGTAAAGAAAAAATAATTGTAATAAGTTTGTATCTTATGAACTACTTATAAATATGTAATACACAATTTTTTTTTTAAGTATGGCAGAGTCGTACAATGAAAACTATATATTCAGTGGTGAGAGTGCTGGTTTGTTCTCATCAAAAGTATTTTGCTCATGGGATTATGGAATCACTAATCAATCAGGTGCCAAGATGAAGTGTCAAAGTATTGCACAGGATTTATTGGTTATTATTTATTTTACTTTTTATTTATTTATTATACTGGTTTTTTAATTTTTTTACAAATACAATTATATTATAAAAAAGCAATAGCAACAATCTAATTAAACCCTTTGCAAATGTTAGCATTTTTTTTGTTGTACTCGAACCAGGGGGAACCGACGCCCAAACTTTTTTCCAGAATAGGCCCTGAAAAGACAAGTACATACACATCATAGCTATTGTACATACACATCATAACTATTTAAAGGGCAAGTTGAGCAATCGAAAATTACAATTATCAAAGCCAATTAGCGATCTTAAAATAATTATTTCTTGATGCAATTGCTGTCACTAGATTTTATATTCGTGAGTAAAATTTTTATGAAAAAAAGTTTCATTATGTTTTACAATGATGATGACACAGAATAACTTGGTTGGATGAGTATTACCTTTCATTATTTTCCATTAAGGTCGTGCAAAACCAATTTTAAAATTAACCAGTGTACTTTTCAGACAAGAAATGCCTTTTAAGTTTATTTTTGCTTTTAAATATGATTAAAGTAGTAATGCACCTTTATTATTATTTTTTTGATTTTGAAACATAACAATAAGTATTTTTATCTTGTATTTGTATTATCTAGACTAGCATCTGTTTTATATAAATAATATTTGAAATAGTTTTGAGATTGTTATAGTTTGAGAGTGTTATAGTGAACTTTTTTAAGAGTATTTACACTTAGTTTATTATTATATATATATATATATATATATATATATATATATATATATATATATATATATATATATATATATATATATATATATATATATATATATATATATATATATATATGTATATATATATATATATATAAAATAAAAAACTAAGTGTTCTATCTTATAAAACTCAGAAGATTTTTTTTTTTTTGTTAATTCACCTCCTTAAGGCCGAGAAGGCCACTACAGACGAGGAGGCTACTTATTTGTAGTTATATAACCCTCTCTCAACTCTATAACTCCGAAACACGAACCTTGACAAATAAGGCCGCTGTGCGGAAAAACGAGTTGAGCGCAGTACTACCAGGGACGTGGTGGGGATTGAACTTGGAACCTCTCGCTTATGATGCGTGCTCTACCACTACACCACTACCTCATATATGGTAAGCAAGTGCTCTACCACTACACCACTACCTTATATATGGTAAGCAAGTATGGTAAGCATTCTTTTGTCTATGTATTTTGAATGAGTTCAAAAAACTACAACTTAAAATTGAGCATTTTGTGCTCATGATAACAACATATAATTCTTATTGAACAATATTTTTCTTTTAAATTTGCTCGCCTCATTATTTATTCTTGTTTTTCACAAGGAAGATCTTTGAATTGAACAAACCTTGTTTTCTAGAAAATCCAGTTTTGTGGCAATGAATGTTAAGACTTTTTCCAATGTCACATTTCTCCATATTAAACATGTTTATTATTTATAATATTACCTGACAAAAAAATACAAAAACAATAAAATTCACAATCATTATTATTTAGAAAAAAATTTATATTATCAGTTATTTTAAAAACTTTAAACTAAATTTGTTTCTTAGGTAATATAAAAATTTCCCTAGACTTGGCAAAATTTTTGCAAGAAAATAACGTTTATGTAACCCCAGGTTGGAAATTCTGCTGTAAATGTTATGAAAAAGCAGTAGAAACAGATAAAGTTAGATATCACTATAGAATTGCTTGAAATTTCACCAGTCAAACTCTTTCAAAACACAGCAAATTGCCTGCAGCAAAACAAAAATTTGAGAACACTATTGGCAGAGTTGCAAAAATGGTCTCATTAGCATATAACATTAAAGATACTTTTTTACCAACCGAAATAAAAAGTCCTGTTTCAAACAACAACATCAACAATGACCATGATCTAGACATTTTATTGTATGAAATAAAAAAAAAATTTCAAAGACTGACTCTTATCGCCATAAGGTGCAACTCACACCAAAATAATGGACACATACCAAAATCATGGACACATCAAGCTACTTTGAAATGGACACAGACATCAAGCTACTTTAAAATGTCTGAGTATCTTGTTTGAACTCCAAGAAAAGTTAAAAATGAGCATGAAATTCTATCATTGCCCGAAAAAAAAATTGGAAACCCATCAGAAACAGTTGATTTAGTGATTAACTTTATCAAAGAATTTTCAAGAATGATGCCAGGAAAAAAAGACTTTCTAAAAGTTAAGAAAAACCAATATGTTCAAAAAAGATTATTACTACTCAATCTTAATGAATTACATGCTGCATTTAAAAAAGACTACCCTAACCTCAAAGTCAGTTTGTTAAAGTTTTTTACTCTTAAACCTAAATGGTGCCTTACAAATAATGTGTCAGGTACTCATAATGTATGTGTATGCATACATCACCAAAAAAGAAAAGTTTCTCATTGATGCCATTATGTGGAATAAAAGTTATAAAGATTTCATGGAATTGATTGTTTGTTCTCTTGAAATTGCAGGTTATATGTTTCATAGATGTAACCAATGCCCTGGTATTAAAGCATTAAAAAGTTTTTTAGTGCAGAAGTTTATGGACCATGAGCTCAAGGAAGATGTAGCATTCAAGCAATAGCAGAGTACCGATAGTACAACACTATTACAATCATTGCTACTAGATAAATTTAATGATTTATTATGTGACAGCATTGACAACTTTACCACTCATTTATATATTGCAAAAACACAAAGTAGATTCTTGAAAATCTGTAAAGAAAATCTCAACCAAAACAAATGCCTAATTTTAAGAGATTTTACTGAAAATTATCAATATGTTGTTCAGGATGAGGTTCAAAGTTATCACTGGAGCAAAAGTCGATGTTCACTTTTTACAATTGTACTTTATTTTATAGAGAAAAAAGTTCTCAAACATAAATCTTTTTGTGACCTTTCAGAAGATGTTGATCATGACACAGGATTTATTTATAAGACTCAGGAAGATATAACTAGATATATCAAAGAAAATCTACCTGATGTATCAAGTGTGAAATACTTTTCCAATGGTTGTGCAGCACAATTTAAAATTTAAAAACTTTTATAATCTTTGTCATCACAGTAAAGACTTTGATTTAAATGCTGAATGGGTATTTTTTGCTACCAGTTATGGTAAATCCCCCCTGTGATGATATTGGTGGGACTGTTTAGTGAGTAGTATGTCAAGAAAGTCTAAAACAAATAATTACTTTTAGATATTAATTTAATTTACTCCTTTTGTAAAGCCAAGATAAATAGAATTTGTTTTAAATTATTTTCTAAGAAAAAAGTTAGGATCATCATTTTATTCCGATTGCTTCAAACACTTTAAGTTATAAAAAAACAAGTATTGATGCATGTATTGAAATATTCAATATCATTCCAAAAAAGTAGACATAAAAAGGTTTTATTAAACAATAAAAAAATATTATATTGCATGTTTTATGACAGATTTTGGTGGGCAGGGATTGCTGAAGATGTAAATGAGTTTGATAAAAAGTCAGATTCATGTATCCACATGGACCAGATGAAAACTTCTTTTGGCTATTGAGAAATGACGAGTGTTGAGTGCTCAGTTCTGAAGTTATATGCCTAATTTTTACACCCACAACAATATCATGTTGTACGTAGAACATATCTGATTTAGATTTAGAGAATAGAAGCAGTTGGTTTAAAAAAAAGTTGAATAAATTTAAAATAATTTTGTTGTATTTTATTTACTTATTTAGAATTTGTCTTTCTTTTTCTTTTTTTCAAAAAAAGAAAAAAAGAAAATTGGATGGAAGGCTGAAAAGGAGGGGGGTTTAAATAAATCCCACTGTCCACCTTACTATGTCAATGACTATATTAGTATTAATTTGCTAAATAATACCATAAAGAAATTGATTGTTAAAATGTTTTAAAAAAACATTTCAATATATTTGGATTTTAAATTTATGATTTTTAAAATCGTGAAAAGATCTTAGTTTTGAGTGCTTACTTTGAAATAAGGGGTAATTATTTATTGATTTGAAATAATGCAAATAAATTGTTTCTCAAACTTACACTAAAAAAAAAGAAAAATTATGCTTTTAAATTGAATTTTAAAAATCATTTATTATTATATCATTTTAAGTATTAAAAAAAAAAATCCATTGAGATTGAGGGTGTAAATGGGGGGATATTTGGTCAGAGGCCCCAGCCCTCCTTTGGCTCATGACTATAAATGTTCTAAACTAGTCAATAAATAACACTATTTGATATTTTATTCAAATAAATGTTTTAAAAAACATTTCAATTGCTTTCGTTACAAAATATAAATTTTTCTAAAAAGACAATTTTTTAAACTCAAATTTTGATCAAGTATTAGAAAGACAATTGATGAATCTAATTTTTTTAAGTAGACCTAAGATAAAATAATGATATACAATTAAACTTTTTACTCAGGATTTTGGGCCACAGTCTTCATTTTATCTCAAAAAATCTTGAATTTACAAGTCTATGAATTTGAACAAAATTGGATAAACGAGACATTTCCTGAGACAATCGAGTCTTTAGGGTGCTATTTTTGGATTCCTCAAGTAAAAATCTATTGGGGATCCAAGTTTCTCCAAGCCATTATAAAGATACATAATGTCAAAGTTACTTTGTAGTTGCTTCAGATAATCACTAAAATGCTGAGTCAGCATTATTTTAACTGATGATATCTCTGAAATCCATGTGTATTTTTATTTAAAATTTTCGCAGTTATCTTTTTTTAAATATTGACTGCAAGTGAGGTTAAAATGAACAAATTCTGAGTTGTAAGGGTGTCATGGTCTGGATAATTTTATTTGGAATGACCCCATTATTACTACAATTATTATCAGAACCTTTTTTCTTGTTTATTTTTTTATTATTATAACCTGGAAATTATGAATTCTACATTTTTTATTTCATAGAAATTATGAATTCTACATAGTTTATTTTTAATTTATGTTTTATGTGTTTTATTCTTTGTGTTTATATTCAATGTGTTTTAATGTATGTCTTTGTGTTTACTTATATTTAAAAATTAGTGTCACTCGTTTGATCAGACTTTTGCATTAGTGTCACCATTTTTATGTATCATTGACTTATTATTATAAATAATATTATGCTTATTATTAATATTATACTACCATTATAAAATTTATTATTAATACTTTTTATTTTTATTATTTTTTATTATTAGTATTGTAAACATACTTATTATTACTATTAATATAATTTGTATTAATTTTGTTATCTTAAGGTTTTATAAATAAATTATTTTCTTTATATTATATTAGTTATAATTATTTTTATTATTACTATTACTATTATTATTAATACTACCGTGAAAATGATTTACTAAAAATAAATAAAAGTTAGCTGTTGTTGTTGTTATGTAACATAAAAACATTATTTCAATTATTTTTGAGGCGGATTTTAGATAATCAAGCCTTCCCAGGAAAGGTGTGCGGCTTTTCATCTCGTATGACCACACACGATTATAATATTTTAGAAAACGTGAGCACGACCGTTTGCAAGTTTTATAATAATGCTGAAAAAGTTTTAAAAACAAAAAAACAAAACTAACAAATTAAAAAGAGATTGAAATAGAAAAAAATAAAAACAAATTTAATAATTTGTGTACTGTTTTTATTTTTGTTTCTTTAAAGTTACATTCAGCAACAAAATTAAATAAGGCGAAGCAAAAAAAAAAAAACAGTTTGAAGTCTACAATAAAAAGAATGATTTTCCTTTTCTTATTTTTTTTTTAGAGGATAGCAAAAATACAAATTACAATGTGTTTGTAAAACTTATTTGTATAATTTTAATGTAACAACAAAGGTTGAATTAAGCGAATGCAAAACTCAAAATCTGGAAAAATATCTAGTATTCAAAATTTAAGTTTATACAAAACTGTGTTCCTTGTTTTTAAGGGGAGAATCAACTTAAATTTGTTAGCAAAAAAATAAAAGATAAAACAATTAACTTATGATTACAAAAGTAACAACACTCTAGTCACTAACTGCATTACAAAAATAATAACACTGTAATAGTGTTATTACTTTTATAACGCACTTATAAAATTTAAAATTCATTCTTTGTTCAAGCAACATTAGTATTCCCAAATTTTAATTGAAGTAGAAAATTATATAGAAGAATAAAGTGGATGTTCAAATAATATTAAAACTAAAGTAACTTATAAAAACTAGGGATGTACCGAAGCTGCAATTTTGCCGAAGCTTCGGCAAACCGAAGCCGAAGCTTCGGTACATCCCTAATAAAAACGTGACAAACAACTTTATGAAAACGTATCGTATTACAAGTTTAGCATTATGAAAAACGTTACTAATGGACTGTAAAAAGGCGCGTTAATTTTAAAAATAACCAATAAAAATTTTTTATTGCTTGACTTTAAAATTAACGCGCGTTTTTACGTCTTTCATAATGCTATACTTTTATAAAGTAACATTGTTTAAGTGATATGTGAAAGTTCCTGAAGTTTTTAATAATATTTGAATATCTGAAATAAATATTTGAAAATTTATTTTTTCTCGATGCTTTTCTACTTTTATAAATGTTTGGAATTAATAATGTTGTTTGAGCAAAGAATGAACTTTAAAAGTAATAAGTGCTTTATAAATGTAATAACACTATTATAGTTTTATTACTTTTATAACGCAGTTAGTGACTAAAGTGTTATTACTTTTGTAGTTGTAAGTTTATTGTTTTTGTTTTGTTAGCAAACTTTTAATAATTTGCTCCTTATAAATAAAGTACACAGCTTTGCATGAACTAAAATTTTAAAGACCTTATATTTTACCAGAGTTAGCAAATCATGATCGTATAATTTAACTCTTGATATAAACTTGTTACATTATAATTATAAAAATATATTTTACAAACAGATGACGATACATATTTGCTCTTTCCTCTTTAAAATAAAAAACACATAAAATATGGGAAAGTCATCCTTTTTAACGTCTAAAATCATTTTTTTTTTTTTTTTTGCTTTGACTTAATGAATTTTGTTGCCGATAATAATAACCACTAAGAAAAAACGAAAATAAAAACAACACACAAATTATTTAAACTATTACTATTGTTTTCTATTTAAGTTTACTTTAATTTCTTATGTAGTTGTTAAATTTAAAACAATTTTTCAGTAACGCATATATCTTGCGCAAATGGCTGTGATCACGTTCTCTAACTTGAAAAACGTTTTCGTGGTCGTAGAAGAAAAAAAAACCGCACGCCTTTCCTGGGAAGGCTTGGATAATGTTTGCATTTTGTTATGCAAAATACTAATATAGTAGTACTCAAAGTTTAACACTTTAAATCAGATAATTAAAGAATTTTATTTGTGAAAGCATGAATAAAGTGAATAAAAAATTATTTTTTGATCATTTAGAGAATACAGTAAAAAAATTTTTCCTAAAGGTCCATTCATGATTCCTACATGGCCTCTTGGGAGGTTATGTAGGAATCAAATATTTTTAAAGCTATTTATTAGTTGATTATTTTGGCATATCTGGTTAAAAAACACTCAAAATTTCAATTAAAAACTTTTCACAAGATATCTGCAAATTAAAGAGTAAAGTTAAAAATAAAGAATTCCCTTAATTAGAGACCAGCAAATATTTGACGTTAAGTAATATCTCCTTTTTTTTTAAATCCTCTCCCTTTTTTTACAAACTCCATTCATGCATTGTTCACATTATTTTCTCTATTATTTAAATATTTATTCCCAAAATTCTGTTTATTATGATTAATCTAATAAAAAGTACTTTTAAATTTCAAAATAAGTTTGTTAAGCTATTGAAATTTAAAAAGTAAATATTTTTAAATTTCAATATCTACACAAACATAAAACAAGCTGAACAGCACACTCATCAGTTGTAAATATTCAGGGCTTATTTATGTAGTTTTTTTTTTTTACATTTTGAAATAAAAATACTTTTTAATTATAAAGTATAAAAATTAAAAATATAATGACTTTTTTAATCAAATATGAAATTTTCTTAAATAATTTAATCTATTTCATGTTAAGTTTACAAAAGTTGTTACAAAAATTTATATTTTTTAAAATTTAGTTTTTGTTAACATATTTTTATTTAAAACAACATATCTCAACAAGACATTCTTTTGTTTAATTTTTTGAGCAAATTTGGAATTTCCATAAAGTTTTTTAAGCAGACTTGGAATCTCCATAAAGTTCTTTATCAAAACTCTCATTTTAATGCTTAAAAAAAAGTTAATCCTAGTGCTGTGGTTATGGAGTCCTATGCACTGTGTTTTGAATTTTTAAATATTTTAAAATGGTTATAACCTTTAAGTTTGTTTTAATAAAAGTTTTTATAAAATGTTTGCGAATTTGTTTTAATAAAAGTTTTTATAAAATGTTTGCGAATTTGTTTTAATAAAATTTTTTATAAAATGTTTGTGAATTTGAAATTTGAGATTAAAATGGTATAGTTTTTTTAGGAAACGTTAGGCTCAGAAAGATATAGTCAAGATTTGTCTTTAAAAAAATTGTGCAATTTAATACTTATTCGACTGGTAACAAATACAATTGTGCTCATATTCATAGCTGGAGCAATATATTTGATTTATTATGTTTCTGAGTTAGGAAAATTAGTAAGTTTTAAACCATTTAAATATTTATTTTTATCATTTATATTTTCGTATTAATTAAATATTTATTATTATCATCTTGTTTGTTGTTGTTTTTTTTGTTGCTTTTTCCTATGCTTTTTAAATTTTAAATTGATTTCATAATTTATTTTAATTAAGGTTAGCCACAAATAGATTTGAGTAATATAAATATAGGTTTAATTAAGTATGTAATATTTTATAATACTGTTATATAAATACAAACTAAATTAAATAATTACTTTTATTACAAAAGTTTTTTCAAAAGTTAAGTCAAACAGAGTATCAAACATATTATATTTAAAGTAAATTTTATAAACATAATTATTATATTTAAAGTAATATTTTTAAAATATGAAAATTGTTGACACTCAGTCTTCTATGTTTGAAATTTAATGCCAGTGTACTAAAAAGCTCTGGCCGGATGGTCATTTTTAGGATAGCCTGCGCAATTTAAAAAATTTATCTCTTTTTTGCTATTTAAATTAAAATAAAAACTGCAAAAAAAAATACTTTAAATAAATACTGGATGAAATAATTTTAAAAAACCTGGCAAAACAAACGCTGTATTTAAATTCTAGATAAAACAATTTAAAAAAAGAAAAGGCAAAAAAAATAATAATAAAAATTGTATATAAATAATATACAAAATAATTAAAATATAAACAAAGACTTTGTTTTTATTTTTATTATTTTAAAATAAAAAAAAAATTGGCAAAACAAACGTTTTGTTCAAATTCCAGATAAGATAACTAAAATAATAATAATAAATCACTATTAGCAATTTAACTTTTGTATGTATTATCTAAAAAATATAATAAAATATAAATTCCTTTATGTATAAGGTTGCCACTCTCCCAGTTTTTCTGCACGAGAACGCTATAAAAGTTTTAATTAGTTTAGGATTGTGCTCTCCTCCGCAAAAACAGGACAACAGTAGCCCTATCTATATATAATAAAATCCTTATAGTTCTGCTTGCTTTTGTTTATCTTGGCATTTAGCTGCCACATAACATAAGTAAATGTTGTTACATAAAAACTATATTTTAAATTCTTTTTTATAACAGCAAGCACCAGAGAAGAAAAGCTAAGTGCAACTGACAATACCAAAAAAAAAATCATCTTAAACTACAAAAGCATTATTAATGTTAATTTATCATTGTGTTTTAGGAATAAAAAAAAATAAAAATACTTAGCTTATATAACAACCTGGTAGCACACACAATGAAAGTCATATTTTAGCTAGCTCAACACCCTAGTTCTACATATAGTAACTATATTGAGTAGATTAAATTTTGATCATTATAATCAAATTTGACCAATCATTGGACAATTATTAGTTATTGATATTTTTAAAAAATTTAAATACTTTTTGAAAAATGTAGAACAACTGGGATTCATAAATCATGATTTAAAAAGTAAAACATTTCTTAAACATGGTCATCAATTATAGTATCAAAAAATATACAAGAGTTTAGTAATAATAGAATGTTCCTATAATGCCCCCCTTTATTAATAAACCTTAATTAAAAAGAGAGAGAGGAGGCAGACTGTGTTTCAAACTGTTAAAAAAAAAGTATAAATATAGTATTATGATCATAAATTAAGTTATTATTTTTAATGACAACAATAAAAACAATATGTTAGCACAAAATAGCTATAGCAATTAAAAAAAAAGGCTTTTTATTGTAATCGCTAGACAATGTTATTTTTATCTCAATAGTTTCTTCATAACTGTTGAGTAATAATTAACACAATAATTTTCGTATTATATAAATTTACTAAATTAAACCCATGTTTCAACAGTAATATAGTAATTACAGTCATAAAAACTAAAATAAAAAAGTTGCTATAATAATCTTAAACTTATCATTCGTGATATCGTAGAATATTTGAAAGTAATGAGAGACAAAAAGTATAGTGTAATAACAAGTAAAGTTGAAATTTAATTAAAATATAAAAAATAGAACCTATCTGATAGATCCAAGATGTTATAGTTGGTAACTTTAAAAAAAAAAAAGATATTTAGCTTAACAAATTCTAATATTTATATTTTGATAATAATTATAGTAAGATTGATATTTAGTCTTAGTTCCAAAGTAAAAAGTAAAGTAAAAATTCTTAGTTCTTAAGTAAAATTATTTAACAGAAATTGAGACCACCTGCCACTAAATGGTGCCAAGTAATACCATAACTTAGAAACTTCACTTGACTGGCAAGGATAATAATCTTGCTGTACACACTGCTTAGTAATCCCGCTTTTTAAACATAGAAAAAACAGAATACAAACATATCTTTAAACATATTATAATATATATGTAAAATATTTTATAAACCGTTAACGCTTATTTTGTTGCACATGTAAACATACTTATCATAAACTATTAATTAACATCATTTGAAAATAAATTTGTGTATTTTTGTCACACCACTGTATTGGGTTATGTCTCACCACTATATTGGGTTGCAGACAAGCAAGTAATAAAAAGATCTGACTTACCATATTTTTTAATTATAGCCATAGCATCTTCAAGTTTTTTTTAAGACTTTTAAAGCAAATAGAAAACTATAACACATCCTGCTCTAACATTATGATTGTTATCAAGGTTGTTTACATCTTCATGTAAGGCATCATACTGCATGCTTCTCAGTTTGTTTTGTTTATTTCTATGAAAGCAAGACACTGCTCCTCTTTAGTTTTAACATATGCATCAGCAGCATAATAGTTTCTTGCCATAAAATATTGAACAGAAGTTTTGTCTTGCTGAAGGTCCGTAATTGTAAAACTGAAATAATTTAACATGATTTCTAACCAGTGTTGCATGTTCAGGGTTGTGCATCAATCATACATGAGTTTTTTTACGGGAATTCCCAGAATTCCGGAAATTCATTTAAAACACCTTTAGTTTTCCAAAAATTTGCGGATGTTTTTTGTTATTAATTTGAAAAAAAATTAATATATTTTTACATAAAATTTTAGGTACAACAACTTTTGCATTTAAACAAATATGTTTTCTATAATTAAAATTCTCACGAGATCAATTTTTGTAACAATTTTTTTCTTTTTTTTTTTTTTTGCTTTTTAATTCATTCAAGCTTTTTCATATATTAGAAATTCATTTTTTTAAATAATCTAAATTCCTTTTGAAAATATCTAAATTCTGTTTGTCAGTTAAATTCGATAAATTTTTAATAAAATAATTTTCCGGGATTTTCCGGGATTATCATAGAAAAAAAATTTCCAGGATTTTCATTAAGTCAAATACTCATCTATGATTATAAAGTCAAACTCTCATCTATGATCATGAAGCTAGCTTAGTGCCATCTTCAACGAATACAACTGCAACTTAACAAATTATAGTTTGCAAATAAAACATTAAATCATGTAAACAAAGTTGATTGCTATGTTGTTGCTTTCTAAAATTTACTGTGGCAAGTGAGTTATAGATATACAGTTGATAATATGTATGGGGATTATCTTGATCTGGCCTAACATTACATACACAATAAAAAGCATGAATACATATTCTGAAACATGGCGGCCTATGATTCATAGGTTAAACCACATTAGTGAATAAAGCAAAATAAAAATAGGCATTAAAAATTCTAATATATTTAGCAAAATTCATATTGGAATAATGATATAACTTCCTGTAAATAAATCTTGTAAAGCTTGCTGAAATAGTAAAAATAAAAGCAAAATTACCTTTCCATTATGGCTACATAAAAAAATGTGTTTTTTCAAGAATTTTTTTAGCACTACAATGCTGACAGATCTGGTTCATTTTTCCTAAATAATTGTTATCTAGAATAGTATCACTTTTTGTTATATAATGCATTTTTTCTTGTCTAGCAGCAGTTCGTATATTTCGTAGATGATTAATCTCGTCTAGCCAAGGCTCTCTTTAATTTATGTGACGATTATTTTCTAACCACATTTCTTACATTCAACATTGCCTAAGCAGCATTTCTTACATTTTGGCAACAATTAATTTCAGCTTTCCTAGTTCTACTTTTTCCACTCCAGCATCAAATATTTTTAAATTGCCTATTAATATTTCTTCTAATAACTTCTTCAAGCCTAATATTATTCATTTCAATTTCACTATTATCAATAAACATTTTAAACAGTAGTATTACTACTGTAGTAACAAATAATCTTTAGTTTTTTGATCTTTTCTATAAAACTACTACTATTTTAACTGAACATAATAATAAAAAAAGTAACTTTAATGAAGGAAAAAAAAGAAAAGAAATTAAATAAGAATATTAAAAAGTAATATTGTTAAGTTGTGAAAACATATCTAAAAAAAGATCAATAAATAATAATGTTCAACAAAAACCTGCAATCCTAATAACAATGATATTATTTGGTAATAAAAACAAAAACAATGCTCAATCTTATTTTGTTTCTTATCTATAAAACAATTCTATTAGAGTATTTAAAAGAGCAAAAACAAATAAAATCTACCTTATGTAAAGCAATATATTAAAAAAAATCAAATGCAATTACTCTAAAATATACATGTCATATAAACACCTCTACAATCCAACTCCAATTAACCACTGGTTTACCACTGAGCTTAAAAATTAAAATAATTTATTATTCAAAAGAACAGTTTTTAAAATGAAAACCTATGATAATTTTATTTAAGATTTATTAAAATCCATATCTTTTGCGGTAATGGTGTAGTGGTAAGAGCGCTCGCTTTGTAAGCGAGAGGTTCGGAGTTTGACTCCCACCATGTCCCTGGAAGTACCGCACTCAACTTAATTTCTCCGCGCAGCGGCCTTGCTTGTCAAGGTTCGTGTTTCGGAGTTAAAGAGTTGAGAGAGGGTTGTACCACAATTTACAACAAAAAAATAAAAAAGTAAATAAAAAAAATAAAAAAAAAAATAAAAAAAATGAGTAGCCTCCTTAACTGTAGTGGCCCCCTCGGGCCTTGGAGAGGTGAATAATTTAAAAAAAAAAAAAAAATCTTTTT